TTTTCTTGTGGCCATTAGGTAAAGCCTCAAAATTAAATAAACAAAAAACAAGACACTATTATGGGCAAAATTTAGGTAAGTTCTTCAGACCTGTAAGGTACCACCTCCGCCAGTACTTTCACAATCATTTGACACGCTGACGATTGTCCAAGGATCAGATGCATTCCAGTGGAAGTCGACCACCCTGTCTCTGCATGGATATATTGAAATTAAGTAACGCTCACTGCCAATAATATGCAAAACCCAATAAAAATAAACTATGTAAGTTTATTATCTCTTAAAAAACCAGAGGTCCAGAGGATATTAAAACCAACAACTTCAAGAGATCAACTAGAATCTAAGCTTGCTGAATACAGACTAAAAAATCAATAAATAAGGCATAGCAAGGTCAGTTCAATGCGAATTGCTTCCAATTTATCATATATGGATACCATACTGACCTAGGCAATGAATAATTAAACATCAAATTACTCAAGACTTTGGCGAACCTTGTACAGTCCTCTATGGAAGATCAAATTCAAAGAGATTGCATGCAAGGAGACAAATGTACATTTTCACATTTCCTTAATGTAGGTATCCTAGAAACATCAGAGATTGTAGAAACTGCTTTTTGTTTTTAATCTTGTAAGAACACCATACCTATGCCCAGCATGTCGGAAGAATAAGCCGGAAGGATGATTTGGTGTTCCCGATCCAGCAGTATCTTGCTTTTTCCCAATCTAAAAAACAACTTTGTCATATATATGGTACTAGTGCAAAGATAAATTTTAGAACAGAAGGTGTGATAACATACACTCAAAATGAGAGTAAATCTCATATTCTATTTTTTGCAGGGTAAAAAGAAAAGTCAAATAGCTTATAAAGAAAACTGGACATGATAGGTATTGAAGATAAGGTAAAGAGAATTCACAACAAACACATAAGAACAATCTAAGTGTAAAAGGAATTGCCTGCGAAACCAAAAGTGCTTCAAGCATGAACAGCAACACACGCATCCTTAAAATTTTACTTATCCCATTTGCTGTGATTAGGAAATTATTTAGGTCCTTGGCTAAAAGTATTCTCTGCCATTCAATTTCAATCTCTACCATGTACTTGTTGCATGTTCATGAATGTAATAGGGTCAAAGGAAGAGCAAAGCAGTCTTTTGCAAGTATTTAGCATCATACCTTCTCATGATCCCATATATTTAAATTCCCATCCTCAGCAGAACTTCCAAAGACAGATGACTTGTGTGGAGACCACTGAAAAAAGCAAACATATCTTCTTTTTGTTAAGAACTGCAAACATCCAAACAATTTCTTTCCACAAACATACTATAAAGTACTAGAAATGCAAAATTAAGCAAACAACATCGAAAATTCTTTGGAAACCTGCACACAAAGGACAGCCTCAGTATGACCCTCAAACTTATGAACAGGAGACCCAATCCTGCCTGAAGTTAGTCTTCGACGGTCAAACATGTTAACAGTATTATCAGCAGACCTGAAGTAAAAGCAGAGTGAACTAAGGGCTGCCCATAAACCATGGATATCAATGCACATACATATTATTAACCTCACAAAGATTACAAGTTAAAAATGAGCCCAGGCAATACGAATACCCTGTCAAAATGAGATTTACATCATGGGGGTTCCAATCAACACAATGCAGATCACTGTTGTGAGCTTTCTCAACCTGACCATTCAACAAACAAAAGTTTCAGAAACAATAATGCAACCAAATACAAAATTATGACAGTGATTTTAAATTTAAAAAAGTAATTAACAAAAACAATAGGAATATAAAAGATAACAATATACAACAAAAAAATGCTTAAAAGGGACAATCCAGAGTTGTAGAACAGTTCAACACAGCATATTAAATGATAGGATTAGTCATAACACACTTAGGAAGTTGTGCTTGTTTAAGATATTCTGCCTATAAAACTTAATCAAAAAGCCAGTCGACTTCAGATTTGGCATCCTATTATCATTAAAAACAAATTTCATCCCCATTCCCTATCAAGAATAAAATGCATCATGGTTATTGATTCCCAAGGATTTTTAATGCAATGCTGAAAACCTCTTGTTTAATTGCTTGTCACAAGAATAACACAGCCCGGAATACCAAGAAGTTCATGATTAATATTAAGCTGGCCAGCACTAACTATTTGTCTTAGCTTAAAGAAAACATTACTCCATGTAGATATCATCATATTTGGAATTCTTAATCGGAAAGAAAGAATCAAAAAAGAAAATCAGAATATCAAGAGATTGCCATATTCAGAATAGTCCAAACCTTCAGAACAGGAGTAGAGCCCACTCTTGCGTCCCATAGTATAAGGCAAGAATCATCTCCCACGCTACAAAACTCCTGAGCACTAAACAGAATGATCAAATAACAAGATCAAATCAAAAAACAATCTAAAACATTTCTACCAAAGAAAGGGAAAAAGAAAAGAAAGAAAGAAAAAACAAAGATTGTTGACATGCCAAACCTCAAGCAATGCTTAATATACAGCATAAGACAATCTACTAGCAAACTAGAAAATCATCAACAAATATATAAAACATCAATCATAGCAATAATGATCAAGCCAGTTACCTCGATGGGCAGAATTGTACATCTTCAACAGTATCCACATGCCCTTTGAAGATACCTCGTGGCCCAATAGAAGGGCTGTTTATAGGTTTATCAGTACTCCCACCACCCTTAGAGGCATGTTTAGTATTTGAACCAGGGTCTGCAGCCAGAGTTGAGATATGATCATGAAGGCTCCACAAAACCACTGATTTGTCTTTTCCTGCCATGAAAGTCTCACTGGTCAGAAGGATTTGAAAGGGAAACTTAACAATGAACAGAAAAGTGAAAACTTAAAGTTATGCAGGAAACAGCAAAGAGAAGCAATGTATTTAATTTTTCCTAGGAATATGGTTTCCAGCTACATATTAAAATATATAAAGACATTGGGCTAACTAGAAATATGTTTGTAATTATGGTTGATGAACTAATACTTAGGTTTCAAAGCCACATGCACTATAAGCAATAAAAGCTTATAATCAGACAAAACCAATGTGTACAGGACCAACTAGCCACCCATTTGGTTAAGTTCATAAAACAACCCAATCTGCTCTGCTGTCTGTCTAGCAAGCCATCACAATGTATTCACCACCAGAGCGCACCAATTTCCGCTGAAGACATTGCACTTAGGTCTCGGAATGCATTTTTTAAAGACTAGTGACTTACCACAACAAAATGACTGCTCAAGAAAGTCTTAGCCAGACATTGCAATGTATCACACAGATTAAACACTGTAAGATTGTGATGCAAGCTGTGAAAATACTTGGAGAATAATTTACCACATTATCGTGCAAATTTACCATTTCACTATGGCTACTGCAACAATTAAAACTATATAAGATATTGTTGAAGTCTATAAAGATTAAACTTAAAGATCCAACCTCCAGATAGCACAAAAGGTTCAGTTGGGCACATGGCAAGAGCATATTCAGCATTATCTTTATGCCCAGTCAATATCTGCAACAAGATAAAGTCCAAGTTAACAAATGCCTTACAATAAAACCACAAAACAATGAAAAAGTTTTCAAATTTCATTAATACAATCATCCAGTGCTATAAACAAGTAAACAATAGTATTACAAAACTCTTTCTATGAGTAATTTAAAAGAAACAAAAGGGATTCATGAAAAATTAATCACAAAGTAGATTCCTTGAAGATACATTCCACTATTCCAGATGTAGAGAAGTAGGCATTGTGCTAGAAACAAGTAAACAGTAATACTACCAGAACATTTTCAATGAGTAATTTAAAAAAAGAAAAGAGGTTCATGAAATTGAAAATTAATCACAAAGTAAGTTCCTTGACATGACATACCAAATCTGGACGAGAAACTGTAGCTCCCAAGGAAGGCTGTCGGTTGGGTTGGGCCTCAACATCCCAAATGAAGACCTATTTTGAAAATTCCAACCATTTAAATCCACATTAACAACTAATGGTTTATAAACTTCAAATCTGGACAGTGCTTACATCTGGACTGTCAGTGTGAGTGGCCACTATCTTACTGTTCTGTGGGAGTTCTCTGATTCTGTTTACCTGAATATAAAAAACAATATAACATCTAAAAGAATCCCAATGAATTAAAAGAAATGTTTCATAATTTAAAAAACAAGGAAGGCTTGATCTTTTGTGCTTTGAAAGAGCTTGTTTGAAAACACAAGAAAGAAAATTTGATCTTAGCTTCTTCCAGTCAAAGTCAACAATTGCTTTCACTTCCGTCAAAAAAGAAAAATGTTCACTTTATGTTCTAAATTTGATTGAAGTTTCTTGAATAAATTCTCGCCCTTCCCAGAGAGCTAAATATTTGCTCTATCTTTCAAAATTAAGATTTCAAATAGTTAGTGTTGACAAATTTAAAGTTAAGGTACTAATGAAGTCAAATTTATTTTAATCAGAACCAGCAAAATGTGTCCAACAACCAGTAATTTAGACAGATGCAGCAGAAGGTTGACATGTACCTCCCCAGGATGTATAATAGTCTTATACTTCTTCACAAAGGGGGAGCGAGCTTCTTCATTAAACTGCAAGAACAAGTAATCAGGAAGAACATATGTTTTCAATGAATTGAATAAAATAGTCTGAATGGGACAGAAAAAGGAAAAGAAGAGGAGGGAAAATTACACAACCTGTGCTATGTGCTCCGCAGCTGCTACCCTAGGTTTAACAATCTCACAGTTTGCTATTACAAGGGTGTTTGGCACAGTACTGTCAGTCTGGTTGGAGAGACGTACAAATTGAACAACATGTTAAATCACATGATCAGGGAAAAGAATATTCAGGATAATTTACTATCAATCATTGCATAATTTTGAACACACAAGCATAACACTAAATAGAGAATTTGGTAAGTTCATACAGAAGATGACTTCCAAACTTTGAGATAATATTTGGTCGGGAGTAATGGCTTTTACCCAGTCAAAAATATCAACTCATTGGTCATTGCCAACAGCTGATTTTAAATTGAAGAGTTTTCAGATGATGTCAGTTCTAAAAATTACTTTATTTCCAAGAAGCAAGAACAGTCATTAAAAGAAGGTAATAGAGAAAGAACTTCCAATACCAAAAAATTCAGCCAATTTTCTCCAACATGAGATATTATATGGAATATAAACTGTAAGTAAAATATATCACTATGATAAAACAAGCTGCTAACTCAATTATTTTGCAAAATAACTTCCCTCAGAAGATGTTCGAGAGATCAATCAACCCATTTCATACATTGTCACTTGCACTAAACTCTTTTCCTTCTTTTTACTAATAATAAATTGTCAAGTTAGGAAATCACATAATTTGATCAAAACTATGATGTCAATTCAAAATCTATGTATTGTAGGACTTAGACTTGCCTGTTCGGAAAGATAAAGTCGTTGTCGAGTCTTGTAAGTAGCTTGCTCAAGCTGCGGGCCCCATCTACCATCACAAAGTATGAATTGAGTGACACTTATTTGAATGTCAACATAGCAACATGGCACATAAAATGTCACACCCTACATCTTAAATATCAACCAACAGGCAATCACTATGCTGAGCCTAATGCATTAGTCAATGAGATGCTCTATTCAACTTCTTTCTTTCACTTTCAAGTAAATGATTCACAATTTCACATGATTCAGTTCCATTTTCATATTTTCCAAGCAATCCAAAAAACACAGCGAAATTAACTCAAAACCTTTTAAGTAAAAGAAAACAATACATGATCATTAAAATTTTTCCATTACACAAGACGATAGTCACTTCCTTCTTCTTTTTTTTCTTTTTTTTTTTCTTTTTTTTTTTCTATTTGGCTATTTCTACAGCGTTTTCGCAGTCGCCAGAAATGCGGCAAGGTCAGAGAAGTTACCGATCCAAGAAATTGAAAAACCAGAGAAAACTGGAAACCCTAGAATAGAGAAGTAGAAAGAGAGGACGTGTGTACGAACCGACAGGAGAGAGAAGGCCAAACAAGGTTGTGGTTGGCGAGCCAATCGTAGAGGACGGGAACCAGAGACTTCCATTGGGTGTAATTCTCGTCGACGGTCCTCCGCTCCTTCATTTTTCATCCCTTTCTCTTCTCCTCGCTCTAGTCTCGGTGATGTTTTTTTTTTTTTTCTCTCTCTCTTTCTTTTCTCTTCTTCCCGCCTCCGCGCCGAGAAGAAGAAACGTCTGTGGGGTCTTGGAAATAGGCACGTGACAAAACTGTGGGATGTGTTGTCACTTTGTCAGTATGCCAAGTGAGACGGTGTCGTTTAAACCCAATCAAAGGGCCAATTAAATGTTTGGGTTGGGAAGAGTGTAGAGAAAGGGAGAGAGTTTTTTTTTTTTTATTAATTAAACTATAATATTATTAAATATTGTAATTTAGTTAGTTAAGAGTTTTTTTCAATCATCATTCTATTAAATATTTTAATTTAGTTAGTTAAGATTTTTTTTTCAATCATTCTCTTCAAACCAATTATATTTATAAGTCTCATTTTCTTGTTGTGATCCAGTGATGTCATTGCAGTCCAAAAAATTATTAGTAGAATGCATTCCAATCAATGATCGAACCTTACCAAAGAGTAAGGTACTAATCTTTAACTTATAACTATTACTTTTGTTAAAAAAAAATTATATTTATAAGTCTTTGATTGAATTAAAAATAATATAAATAAATTATAAGGTTAGTACGTCTCAATTTTAATTTTTAAAAATAATTAAGGTTTCAATTTATATTTAAAAATTAAAATTTTATTTTATTAAATATTAATATTTAAATTTAAAAACTCATTATATATTATTATATTTTAATATAAATAATTTATAAATCTAAATATTAATATTTAATAAGATAATTTTTTTAAAATTTTAATTAAATTTTAATTAAATAAAATAAAATAATTTAATATTAAAACCCTAATTATTTTTTAAAAGCTATGACTCACGTGCACATTCTGCTGAAGATATTAAATTCCTAATGTAAATTAATCCTCTTGAAATAAGTGAGTCCATCATCATTATTAATGGCCCCATGTACGTGACCCCATGTAGTTTATTTTTTTCCCTTGTTTAATTCTACTTTTTTTTTCACTTTGGACCACTAAATGATCCACCTAACCAAAGAACATTAAATAAAAAAAAAAATACCATGTGACTTGTGCTATAAGTTAATTATGCTCCCGTGCCTTTTATATATCACTTATACGGCAAGTTATTAGTATATTATAATTTTTTATCATTAATATATCTTTAATTTTATAAAAAATACTAATTAAAATTATTTATGTAATAATAATATTAAAAATAAATATCAATTTTTATATTTTTTATATAAATTAATTTTAAAGAGTATATTATGATTTATGACAACTTTAATTGTTATCTTTAAAACATAAATTAAATAAATACATAATAATTTATTAAGAGTATGAAGGTGGAGGCTTTTTTTATTAATTTTTAATATTTAAAATTTATATTAAATTTTAATTAATTTAAAATTTAGTTATATTGAATCTTTTCAAAAAAAAGTTTTCTAAAAATAATTTTCTAATTAAACTAATAGATTATTTAGTTTGTTTTTTTTTTGTATGACCATCCGGTATCCAGAAATTCATTGGGTCATTGATTAATCTGGATTCGAGCCGGATAGAACCCAATGGGTAACAAAGCTCTCCCTCATGAGTTTTAACGGAGTTATATTTTCAGAAATTAAATTCAAGACATCTAGTTAAGTTAGAAGAGTTCCAACCAATTCATCCACCCGTTCATGGGTATAGATTGTTTAGTTTGTTGGATAGCGGAGGAGGTGCCTTCGGTGCCAGAAAGAACGGCTCATCGTACAAAATAATAATAATAACAAAACATAGGAGAAACTATTGAACCATCCTCTCCATTATGGTATGACAAAAAAAAAAAGTCCAATCAACTCCTACCAAACCCAAATCCAAATCCCAATCCCAATCATTCAAGATCAAGCTTCAACCTTGTCGGGTCATG